CCTGCAGCCTGGTCATCATTACTTTTGTATATTTTGAGACTCATCAGAATTGAGAATAAAACTTCTTTTCTTCTTCCCAATTTGAACATGTTTTTAAAGCAATCCCACCATCCAAGTTTGTCTTCTGCCCTTTCCTAATTCTTGAGGTTTGAAGAACTTCAAATATAGCATGTTTTTCTGTGAGATTGTAGTGATCCTTCAAAGAGTTCTCCTACTATATATGATTATATATGCGACTGTTCTTTTTTTCCTAAGGACCAACATGACTAAGTTTGCTTTTTAAAATGCACAAAATGGAACTAATAATGATAATAATATACATTGCTGTGGCTTCAGAAGTCAGCTTTGGTCTATAAAGTACTTATTTCTGGTAATATCACTGATCTCTGTCGTAAAGGAAGCAAAACATGCAACAGAAGGCAAGCTTAAGAAGGAGGCGTCTGTTTGCTAAGAAGTTTTTTTTCATCCTTAGCCAGAGTCAGATGCAAGAATATGGCTGGATTGGACAGATGGAATATGAACTACAACATTCGTCCCAAGGCATTAAGTAGAATTCTGCATGACAATTATTTTAATCTTATTTCTTGATTGATTTATTTATTGCATATTATACCATTTTATTCTCTCCAGCCTTTAAATGACTCTGTTTTTAATGTTTTGATTTGATTTCTATAACCGCCCATCTCAACTCTGGGTGGTGTACATCATAAAAAGTTAAAACAATACAAAATAAATATATAGGGTTGCAGAGTAAAACTATTTCCATAGATGTTAAATGGGGCCCTTAATTCACTCTGTTTTACATTGCTACAACTACAAAAACAAACAAGTGAGGAACATTTTTTTCCACAAACTTCCAATTTATGGGAAACCCCAACCAATGGAAGCTATAACCAAAGCCCAAACTGGTCTCGCTATTTCAGTGACAGCCTCTTTTTTCCTGGCTTAGTCCCTACAATCCAGAAAATGAAAAGGCAAAGAGAAAACCTGCTATAAACAAAACAAGCCTCTGCATAAGGCCACCCAGAGAATTATCAAGAAAGAAAAGAAAGAAAGAAAGAAAGAAAGAAAGAAAGAAAGAAAGAAAGAAAGAAAGAAAGAAAGAAAGAAAGAAAGAAAGAAAGAAAGA